GGTGCGCTTCATCGGGGTGGCTAGTCACCGGTTCGAAGCTGGTGTGGCTCGCCGCTACCGCTCCGACGGTTGTTGTCGTTGGTAGAACGCTTTCCCAACGTACGAACGAAGAAGCGATGAGGAACTGTGGGTCGCTTGGTATCTTGCTCCGTTCATGGAGGAATAGCAGCGCTGAGCTTGCCTCATATGCCACCGTCGTAATGCCGACCATTGGCAACCGGTAGCGTCCGCCGCGTCAATTCCAATCGTCGATGTTTGCTTTGCTTTGTGGCGATGCTGTGGGATGAAATGATGAGATTCATTGTCGATGCCGTGCGTAGATGATGTCGAGACTTCTGCTGATGATACGACCAGTGTGGCTGTGTTATTGCTGCGATTGCAATGCGTTTTTTGGTGCTTACAGCTGGTTTACGGCCGTCTGCTGCTGTTGCCAGCTGCACCCGCTGGAGCGGTTGCGTCAGCATTGACAACACCAATACGTGTGATCGACCCAGCCTCGACGACGACAGTGCGACGATAGCTGAATTGTCCAGGGATCAACGGACCTATCCACCAATGATCTACAAGTTAACAATTGATTTTAAAGGAAACACACTGAAGGAAAGCTAGTCGAATTTTCCAAAGTACCTGAAAGCGTCCGATGCTTTAACGTCCAACGACCAGGCAACACGACATGGCCGTCACCCAGCGCTTCCGTTACCGACCCAGCCATAGCTTTCGGACGCGACTCGTACTTACTTACGACGATCAAGGATCATCATGGACATCCACAACAACAACGGCAGCGCGCCGGATGGAACCAGTATCGTAAGGAGAATGGATCTAACCCTGTTCTTCTCCCACCCGCCAGTATTTCCGTCTCAAGCGGCGTTTATTATTACTAGCATTCACACACCGATCGCCGCCGTTTTGTCTTCTGTCGTATGAGTCTTAAAAGCAAAGCGAACCTGTTTGTACGAGCCGTGTTTGCTGCTGGCATCGGCCTCCCGTGCCTAAGAGCGAAAAAAGTGAATTTAATGATGATAATTGCATTTATTGTACACCCTCTAACCAGGGCGGCCGTTCTCCATTTTCGATTGTTGACATCAAAAAAAAAAACACATAGACACGTTAACGAGTATGACGTCTTCGACGTTGGGACGACGCGAGAGATCACAGAAACTCCAGCTATAATAATAATAAGACTGATACACTAAGGCGCATATGGACAATAAGAAAGCTGGAACAAGATGACTTTTAGCATCTTTTGCGGATGCTCCATGGTGTGGTTCCGTCTCTTACCATCACACAATAAAAGATATTTGTCAAGCGTAAAGGATAGCTACATAAGGCCCGATGTAGGCTAAAATCAACGTTTCTCTTACTTTGAAAATGAAAAACATGGAGGTTTTATCGTCCTTTCCATCAGTGCCATTAAAATTAGCAAAAAGCAAACATCAAAATAGTTGAGCGAACAGTCGAAGTGCTATTTCAATAAGCTCAATGGCGACTCAACACTTCAATGCAATGTTCAGCAATAGCTTACTTGATGAGCAGATGATGGCATAGAAAAAAAAAAAATAAAGAACGAAGCGGACCTGGTTTTTTGCAGTTTTTTTGAGTTAAGTAGCGTTTCATTTTCGTCCCTTCTATATCTGATCAGCTCCAGATCTAGTCTACTAGTAATGCAAACCCTGAATCCGAATCAATGACAGTGTTGATCAATCGTAACAAAAACAGTCAGATATCGACTCTGGAAGGCGTCTGCTCGAGGTATCTCGAACATGAACTGTCGACGGGGTCAAAACAGAAACTTTCCAAACAAATACATCGCCAGCAAATTGTCCATGCTTACAAATTCATTATCAGCAGAACATTTCAGCCGCTTACTACAATGTGGTAAAAGCGTGTTTAGTAAATCCAATTCACTGAACAGACGGCGTTTTAAGGCAGAGCTTGATTCGTCCTTAAACCCCAGTAAAGCCCCCCCTCCCCCACTCGCGCACACGCACACATACTTAAATATACGTCCTCTTTAGATCACCACACGCTGCCTTGCCATCGAGAAGCGTCGGTTCTAACTAATGTCGATATTGTGCAAATCTTTTCTTCTGCGAATTTGGCAAACATGGCAGACCATTGGCGCAGCTTACGCGGCCGCCGGTGTGTAATCGCATCGTTTGTCAGTCTTATTTGCTATATCACGTGGTACAACATAACTTCGTTCTGGACAACATCAGACGAGCTGATAACCAGTTCACCAGTGCAAATGGTGGAACGAGACCTGGCAAAAGAAGACGTAAACGTAAGCTTCACGCGACGACATCACAAGTCATTGGTAGAACCTGGGCCAGCAAAGGCTAGCGCGAAAAAGCAATGCGTGAAGCACCGGTGTCTTAATTTAATAGCGTATTTGTACGTCATTGGAATCAATTGAGGGTCACACGAAGCGCCGTAGCACTATTAGTGAAGTGTTGGACCTTGAGTCAAGCGAGACGCCAAAATAGGACAACGAACAGTATTTTTTTATCGCAACTGGTTATCTGTTGTGGTCGACCGTTTCGCTACTGACTAATTCGGTGCGACTTCGGAACAGACGGCTTTAGTGAAGGAGAGAATTAGCCTGCTGATTCACAGCAATTGTATTGTATGATTATACGTCTGCATACCTGTGTTGTGTGTGCATTATTGCCTATCGGTAAGTCGGCCTGAGTGTCAGCGTCTCACCTTGTTTCAGGTTGTTTGTCCATCTCTGATCAATGGCGCTATCCATCTGAGTAGCGCTTGACTATTCGGATTTCATTTCCCTGGATCAAGATGCCCCCACGACGATGTAATGTATCGCTGCGACTGCTTCTAGAATGCTTAAGCATCATTCGTTTTTCTTATAAGCCAAGGTCTCCTGCAATCCTAAATACGAAACAGCGTCAACTACCTTTGATCCTGCTGCTAATGCCGATGAGCCCCCTTGAGCAAATCGTCTTGTACGTTGTTAGAGTCATGCTGGCCTACCACACCTTAGTGTTTCGGCGTCGGAGAGCGACGTCCTCACAGACTCGTTATTTTAATGTTCTTCTAGTGATGGCCAATAAACACAGTAACTATGGCAATGCCGAAGCGACATAAACAAACGTCTACTTTCCGTACGCTGAACTGGTTCTAAATATCGTCTCTGCTTTCATTAATCGCGCCACGGGCCGCCGCCGCCGCCGCCGCTGTGGGCCTTGACCCCACCGAGAGCGGAGCTTCACCTAACCGCGTTAAAACGTACGCAGATGGAATTGACTGTTCAGCAAAAATACTGAACAGCAGCGGCTGCATGAGGGTGCCTGCGCTGATGAATGCTGGCCATTTCTGGGCGCCTAATTCGATGATATTTTCTACTAGTGCATGTGTATGCAGTAAACCAGTACATCTCACTGTATCAATGTTGGGGCCACAACCCATTGTAGAAATAAGCATGGCGTGGCATTTCTGCGTACAAAATGACTGCTTTTGACGTACGTTTACTGTAGATTAGACTGGCCATTACCTCAGGACAATATGAAAATACGACTTTAAATACGAATATTGCTTTAAATTCTCTGGCGTCACATAATTAACTACTGATATTTCAGTGCTGTCTCTGTTAACAGCAAGCAGTCAGTGTCGCGTGATATGATGGGTTTTGATTTTTTTTTTTGGCCAACAGACAAACGATTGCGGAGATCGTACTCTTCATCGAACAGCCGCAGCAGCTCATGGACCCTCAACCTAGTGTACCTAGTTTTCAGTCAGTAAAGTCAAATGTTCTTTCGTAGATTAATATCCCTTGAAAGGCAGTGACTTTGTCCATTACGGCGTGTCTGATACCTCGGATAGGATTGAAACGGGAGTGGATAATGAATATGGCAGCAAATAGACCGCCGACGGAGAACGGCTCTACACAGGAGCCCACTCCTTCACCAAATGGCTACAGACCTCAATGGAGTTGCTTGTGCTGTCAGAAACAGCTTCCTTGAGGTGCGCAAATCTATTTAGGGTACCTGTAACGGCTCCGACGGCTTTAACATACAACTGCAACAAAACACCTACCAACTTCTGAAGGGAAGCGCCAATTTGACAATGAGGTATCGAGTGTACTCTGTTGGGCCTCAAGACGTATTCTAGGCGAGCTTCACTAGTAATCACTAGAGTGATCATAATTACCCTAAGCTGACCCGCGCTTCGATCTATGGTAGGTGGTTACCCGTACGCTAATACGCTACGAAGGTTCATTATCTAAACGGTGATCGAATCGCAAATTGGTACAAATTGACTTTATGAAATTGTGCCGTTTCTGTTGCTGCTGCAGCCGTCCATGGTGTCGAATCTACCAAAATTGATGACAATATTTCAGATTTTTCATGTTGAACCTGTTTAGCAATACGTTGGTGTAACACGTTTGCATTTAGTAGGTTAGAAATAGACAAATAGTTTTCTTGTTTAGGACAGGCCTAATCTAGGACGAAGCCACAAAGTTAAAGTCTACGGGTTCCGTTTGCCAAACAGCTAATAGCTGTGGGCATGGGGTACTTTTTAGAGGTATGTTTGCTGCCAAATTAACGGGCTAATCCCTGCTAGAATGTCAAAAGTTCCAACTAATCCTCCCGTAAGCCGAAACCGTAAGCTTCACATTAAGCCCATCGTAACCATGTCCGACATAATTCAGCATTTCTATTTAAAAATAGAAACCGCGTCTAGTTCAGTTAGTTGGATCGATGCTGAAACAGTCACTATACATATGTACTTTCCTATTGCACCTTAGTACGTATTCAGCCGAAAATCGTTTGGAAGACGCTTATTTAATCAACATGCTTTTATGCATTGTAGAAGATTGGGCTGTTGAATGAAGACTGGCAGCTAACAACAACAACTCCAAAGGACCTCTTTTATACATCCAAATACAGTCCTAATTCATGATTATGTGCTACTGCGTTAACGCTTGTTCTTGTCGCTATTATCATCTTGTTTGTATTTAGTATAGTGTTTTCCAGCCCATCACACTTCAGCGGCGACACTCATAGCTAACAGCGCTCGCTGCTGCGTCGTATTCACTGGCACAGCCAATCTAACCGCAGTCACCGCTAGTGCTCCGGATCTGTGGCAGCTTTACGACCCCACCCAGCTCTGGGGCTCCGCCTTCTGGCCCGGGTCTGAGCCCTACCCCACGGCTGGCAATCTGAAGCTCCATCGGCAGCAGCAGCAGCGCTGTTGACGACTGTTCCTGCCGCTGCCACTTGGAGAGTGGCTCGCTCATCAGTGACTTCGCGATTCGGAAGCTCCAAAAGAAGTGAGTGAGCCGGCTCTTTGCGATAGCATGATCCAATAAAGTCCGCTTTCACGCCGTTATCATGACAACGAAAGCTCTTAACAAATCTTGCAGACCTCGTTTTAGCCATTAATATCGCTGCCTGTTCACTACATACAGTCACCGCTTCATTTCCAACCAATGGCCAATAACGCAGAACTTCTGTTTACGCTAGCGCACACGTAGCGTACATCATCAAAGTATACATTGTAGCATCGTAGTACTATAGCATTACTCTTCCCTCCCGCTTTTCCCGCGGCCGCTTCCACTCTTCCGGCCGTTGCTGCGTTCTGTTCAACCTGTTGTGGCCTGTGGTCAATGCCGTACATGTTCCCATAGACACAGCTTCACCTACAAACTCATACGGCCATATAACCATTACGACTATTACACCATAGCACTGTCAACAACAGCAGCAGCAGCAGCAGCAGCAGCTACTTCACAGCGAAGGCGTGGCCTCTTCGTGACCACCGATGGCATCGTCATCGAACGAGCGTCACAAACCGAGCGCTTGAACCAGCGTCGGCGGCGATGGCTGCCGCGGTTGCCGTAGACCGATCGCTGATCGCGTTGTGTTTCTATGCTACTGACGATTGCCTGCGAGCGCCGCCGATGAACGCGAGGCGTTGGCGGCGCTCAACTCCCTCTCCACCGACCCTCGCCGCTTAGCGCGGCAGGCACGCCGGCCAGGATCGCTGCACCACCGTCGGGTAGCCCCATCGCATCGGTTAGACTGAGGCAGCTTTGCTTCTGAAGCATCTTGCTGACGACGACGCTCGCGACAACGACGACGAATTGCTGCTGGCAGTTTGGTTCTCTTAGCGCTGTCGTTGCTGACTATGGTGAAGGAGACGGTGATGTGATACGCGCTACGACACGACGATTCGCGCGTGTACTTGTTTAATTGTTGGTCTTTCGTTCAGCTCAACGATCCAACAAATGGTGGAAATTTCTCAGGAATACGATACGTTTGTCAGGTTAACACGATCAAGAGCCGTCAGTAGTAGATATCTGGCGAGAGTAAAGCGTTCTGTTCGAAAAATCAACAGGTTTAACTAAATATTCGTTCGTAGAGAAAGCATCAGCCATTCAAATGCACTATTGAAGAATTGCCCCATCAGTAATGTGAAGTTCCTTTATGTGATCTGTGTCATCAAGTTAACATTTTTGCTACCTGGAACCTGTCCATCACCTTAAAGGAACAAACTGGCTTTAGAGGAACGTGACAAACCCTTATCGCGAAGGCTTGCACCATGTAAGCAAAGTGCTGAATTCACTAGCTTTCAATGTACCTCGTGCTGTAGTGGCTTTATCGAGCTGCTAACAGAACGCGCTTAAGAACCGTGAATGAAACGAAGTTCTAATACCATCTGACTTAATCAGCTAGCGACCGGTTCGAAGATCTTGTCGTTAAAGATCACACTTGAAAGAAAGAATGAGCAACGTCGTTTTGGAGTAGTAATACAGGAGTCGTAGGGTCCGACGGGGTTGTTTTTGTTCTGTTGTAACCATCGACGAACCGCGATAGAAAAGTCAGCGATCATCAATTTCAGACACTTCTGCAGCAGTGAGGAGCACTTCTATGAGCCCGTACACTATACTCGACCGCACGCCATACGTCCTGCGCGAAGATCAGGTGGTCGCTTCACTTGATATTCGTCTATTTTTTTTTGGTCCAACTAAGGTAACAACAAGGATAGCGTCAGCAGTCGGTCGGCGACGTAACCGCTCGCCCGACGACTTCTCGAAGGGGCACAGGCAAACAATGAAACCTATTGCCTTCCGCTGGTACGGCGGCCTCAGCGAGTCCTCGCTTTTCACAGAGTCGCTGTGAGCCCCCCAGACGGTTAGCCGGCGCCTATTCGGTTGTGTTGCGTATCGTGGACATCGATCTCCTGGCCTGTCTCCTCCGTACACCCGTGTGAGACGTGTTTACTGCCGGTCAATAAAGAATAACGCATCGCCATCAACAATCGGCGGTCTTCGACCGGAGTAAATAGCAGTGATAGTAGCAACAGTATCGAACGCCCAGCGAGGAATACGATTAACGTTTGCGCGGAGTAAAGTTACCCGCGCGTCTAGATCGTCTGTGTAAATTTTGGCGACACTGTCCGCTCGTGTGCTTCATTTTCGGTGGTGAAGTAATCCAAAAGTGTGGTGTCCTGAAGTTGTGATATCGTAGATGTGCTGGTGGTAGTTATGAAAAGAAGCAAAGAATTTCGTGTGAGAAGTGTCTCGCTTGGATTCGAAGTTTACGAATAATCAAAGAAATTACAATTTCTTCAAACTACAATATGCTGTGGGTAGTCTTCATTGGCTGGACGACTTAACGAGAGAAAATAGGGAGGACAAACACAAATAAAAAGAAATTTCGCAGACGATCACAACGGTGAAAAGTGTGCTGACGTTCCTGCCACGACCGCGTGCGGTTTACCCTGCGCAGTCTGCGATCCGTGCTGACGTCGGATTCATTGAAGCCAACTGATAGTGCTAGTGGATTCTACTCTAACGGCTCATTGCATTTCGGATTGACTTCGTTCATCCAAAGTGCTTACACGTGTGATACGTGAAAGGCTGCATTGCCGTACCCTGCTTGATTACGCACGCAGTACTGGAGAAAAAACACATAGCGATTTCGGATGATTTTCGAAGTTCTTCCTCATCGCCTACTCCGCACTAAACAAAGCCTAAAATAAAATCGGGTAGCGCTATTCGCTCCCAGCAACGCATTTCCTGCCGCGAAAACGGATCCCGGTTTCTCCACCCTTTGAAAACTGTGAACTGTGGAGGAGTGTACTGATCAATCGCCAGGATTGAGGTGGGCGAGTTGTGTGTTGTGCCGGTGGAAACGCTCGGCGGATGCTCACCGGGTCGCTCCAAGACCCCCCGAGACTCAGGTACGTGTCAATTATGTAGAAGCGGGTCATATCCTAGTATCAGTCCGTGTGATAATTCAGTGGTACCGTGTTTGCCTACTAAGCTTAGGGCCACCTGAAGTAAGCTGGCCTGGGTTCGAAACCTAACGTGGACACACGGTTCACACACGGCGCCGGAAGGGCCGCCAGCCGTCTGACGCAACGTCTAATGACAAGCCTAAACATGGCACGTAGAACTCGAAACATACAATAACAGAAGGTGGTTCCGTCAGTGTATGGTAATTTGTCATCACTGACATTGCGTGGATATATAATGCGCAGCGTATGATACATAGCTTAGTTATACCTTCATAACAAGTATCAAGCATCTATCGCATAGCGTATATTTAACTGACGCTTGAGAAGCGCTCTTAGTTTTTTTTCAATATGTTGCCTCGAAGTTCGAGTGCCCCTGTACTACGCATACTCGTGCCATTTAAGTGCTACCACCCCATAATATTACGGGTTGTTGGATTTGTCGTTCGGCGGTTGAACTTAGAACTAAGTCGAACAGAAAGGATTTCACCCTTGAAACTCCCTCTTCCAGACGGCGGCGTTGCAGAAACCGTACCCTGCACGCAGCAACAGTCAGAGAAAAAGAAAAGGATTTGTACAGAAAAAAATATAGACATTCTATACCCAAAGAACGTTTGCGAATACTATAATCGGCCGCGAGAGGACGCGATGATAACTCAAACCTTTGAAGTCGCTTCGTTTGTCGCCGCTGCTGTTGCTGCTTTATTATTTCATCATTATCAAATCATTTGTTCGCTGTTCATGTTCAACTGAAGGCAAATCGATTCGCTTTTGGTGTTGTTAGCGGCTCTCGTGAAATCGTCAGGTTTGTCATCCAACGAGATTGCCAACAGGATTATTACTGCAAATGGCTTCTATAGACCTTGCCATCGCCGTCGTCATCGTCGTTGTGCAAGGGGCAAAGAAACAGATGAGAAGTGACAAAAGCAATAGCAGAAAAAAAGATGAAGTTCTACGGATGCTGTACTCGTGATGATTGTGCTGTTACTATCGGAGTGTTCCGGCGGGAACTGCTTCTTCCTCGTTGATCGTAATAGTAGTGGTGGCTGTGACTGATTTTCCGTCGAGACGACCGAAACGGAATCACGCTGGTACTGATTACCTTCCACGATTCGAACAGCGTCAATTCGAAAGCATAGCGGACCAATATAATCCGATGATGACTAAATCTGTCGACGTTAAATCGTACTGCCGATAGGTGCCGTCAGATGATCAGGCCAAATCACCTGGTCGGTAGACTTCAACACCATAACCATGCGTCATTTGTAACGTTATTAGGTGTTACGCTTTCTCTTTATTTCGTCGTTGCCGATGTCCGTTTCGAACAGGACTGGATCGCGCGTAAAGTTCCGGCCGCAGCGAAGTTATTCAATTAAGGAAGATGGCACTATTGAATGAAGTTCCTCTGTCGAATTCGCTTTCGGCTATCGTTTTGCTCTATTAGTAATTTTTACTGACTATCACCGTTTCAAACTGCTGTCGATGAGGTGCTGTTTCTCTGGAGCGTTATGAGTGTGAGCAGGATATGAAGAACTCGAACAACTTCAGTTATCGGTTAGCCAGTGTATGTTACGATGTTGTTGGGGCGAAGTTCTATTAGGCAGGGTCTAAAGGGCATCGTTTTCGGCTGCTCATCAACTTCAAGCGGCCCTTTAGCTAGTTCTGGGGTCCTGCACAGGAAGACAGATAGTTGTCACTGGCCCTGGCTAGGAGAACCATACTGGCGGACGGAGCGCAAACATAGCGCGAGACCAGGCAAAGCATGCTATACAAGCCCCTGCGTTATCGGTAGCGGGCCTTTTCCCCTCCTTTGTACCCTCGAAGTAAGGTATTTGAAGTTGCGGCTGCCGCCGCCGCTGCTGCTGTTTTCGACTGGGGATTGATCGAAGCCCACGGCTTTGCCTTCCGCCTACTATGCTCCCATCTCCATGATATCTCCATAAAGGCATTCACCGCTATTGACGATCCGGTACGTGCCGTTTTAAGCTCCTTCCATTCCCGGCCAAGAACCCCTCAAATGGTTTTAGCTGGAGTCGAGGCGGATGACCCAGTTGAAGGTTCAGCGTGTGCGGCTTTACTATCGATATGTGACGTGGTCCCATTTGTATGATACTAGCGGTGCTGAGAATGGGATCTGAAGCCGTTCAGTGGCTAGGACGTCAACATCGGGGCAATCTGTTGCCACACATCAATAATAGTATTATTCTACTAATGTTGTTTCCTTTACGAGCGGTGTTCTAAAGCATAATATTCGATAGGCAATTAAGCTTCTGTTGCATTGTATTTACCCTCAGAGAAAAGGCTAGGGTTTATGTATTCTTTTATAAAAGTGTGCATATTATATGGAATAACTGTCAAATTTATCGCCACTCATATTTGCTGTCTACAATATGGCCAATAGTAATACTTGCAAATACCCATGCAACATTTGTACTATGCTACGGAGCTAAAAATCGACCCAACATAGCTTCAAGCCCATATACTGCCCGCTCACAAAGTCTCGCAAGGCGTCCAGCTAGCGCTACTACTAACTTCTATTATTTCAATACTACAAATACCCGAAAATGATCACTGTCATCTTGTCCGTATCAACGATTTATTTAGCTCAAAAACGAGCCGACATCCTAACTCACCGTGTAAAATTTCATTTCTACTCTATTTGCTTTTGTTCTGAAAGAGCGGCTTCCAAGATGAGCATATGCATCATCAGGCTGTCCGATTCGTCGCCTTCGAGAATGCCTGGTTAAGGCAAAGGAATCCTATTGATGTTGACGGTGATAGTAGCGATAATCGTATTCGACGAACACCGTTAAGCGTTACGTTAATGCTCTCTGCTTGCCGTCGTGGCAGCCGTCGTTGCCAACGACGGCAATAACAGCCCCGGCGGAAGTCAACAAGTCAGAGAATAGAGAGCTTTCCAATATACCTGGTTATCCCTAGCGCTTCGTCGTCTGCTATCATTCTTGTTTGACGGCTTAGTTCTATCTCACTTTCTCCTTCCACATCATTGTCGAAGCAGTGGTTCATGTTTACGTAGGAGCGGCAAACGGGCTTCTCGTTGGCGGACCGCTCGTCGTGGAAGGGTCGGTTCTTAACGTCGACATCAGTGACATATATAGTGACAGTTAGGTGCGATGCTGGCCGCGATGTAAGGCGTACGTGATGCCTGCAGCTGAGTACAGCCGTTTGCGTCAATAGGAAAGCTTGTCGCTGGTTTTTCTAGGTAGAAGGTGGAATATGAGTTTTCTCTGACCGGTCCCAAAGACAGAGGTAGAGATAGTAGTAGCGGTTCAGAATACACAGTAAATCCGAGCCACAGTTACTGTTGATTATTGTCTAGAAGCAAAAGACGTTCTTGTATTCGTGTGTGATCGCGCAGAAAGCTAGTAGCCTAGACAATAGGACGGCACTTTTTAACAAAAAAAAATCGACTAGATTCATATCCTTCAGTAAAAGACGAAACATGAGAAAAATGAACGAAACGTGAATGAACCCTCTTGAAATCGATTCCAGCTTTTGTAAACCAATTTACTTTCATCGCAGAACAGCGTCCCATCGCTCTTCATCAGGCCGTTTCAGCCAGCGTGACACAAGGCCACGCAGGCTCTATAATCGCAATGCGTTTTGTCTTGCGTTGTCGAAAGAAGACGGCGCAGATAGAAGCTGCAACGAGACGGAATGCATTTGCCGATAGAGCCGTTAACAACATCGATCGCATCATCATCCTCTCTGGTATCGATCTCGCTGTCTGCCACTCTGTTACCACCGCTGTTACAACTGCGCTATCTAGAAGTATTAGCGTGCCAGATCGTTTGGGGTGACCACTGGTGATGCCTGCCCATGCCGTCCCCGGTGGGTCGTTTTCCAAGGTAGCACCACCAGAGTAGTTATCTAGATAGCCAGCTCTATTATGGATGCGACTGACGTTGAAAACATCTATACCTTTTTTCAATATATACATAAGCTGGAGTTCTCGTAGAACGCCAGGCAGCCGCAAACGCATGAAAGAAGCCAACACGTTAGAAACAACGTAACTGGACATTGTTAATTGCCATCGACTGATAAGGGTCGTTAGTTACTTTGTTGGAACGCTGTATTTGGACTCGTTAAAAAAGCAGAAAACAGGAAAAAGTAAGTGGGAATTTAAGATACTGAAAGCGATCGAGGAGCCTCAAAGCAAGTCAGGCCATTCGGCAGTGGAAGAAAACGATCTGGAGTAATTCCAGCTATTTGTCATAACTTTACTCGCAATCCGCTTTCGATTCAATATGTATTGATTGATAGCTCATGGAAGTGTTCGTGCAGGACGACTTAGTGACGAGATTATATGGAGCTTCTTTTGAACGTAGACGGTATTTCGAGAAGGTAACTCCCTCAATTCTATCCATAGTAAAGTGTTTTCGCTGCTTTTGAAATCGATTTAATTCTCCTCCGTTAGCTTCTGGTTAAGGATTGATTAATTTCTGTTTTTTAACGCGTTTTTCTTTTGCTTTTTGAAAAGTAATGCAAGATAATGGTAGCTACTAATAATAGCTACTAATAATAGGCTGTTGCTTTATGGTCTATTCATTGTAATTTGTGTGCGCGCAGCACATAAAACGAATGTTCAAAGCCATTCTATAATATCCTGGCCTGCTAATATTTCTCTAACTCTTACGGTTTAGGTTGACAAAAGAATTGCGTCTTAAGGACAGAAGTACCATTTGCAAGGGACGATCCTTCCAGTTTTAAGGATCAGTTTAGGGCACCCCAATAAATGTCGAGTCCGAACGAGTTCCACCACACCCTAATTGTTAACCTGTACGGGGCTACTGGACCACTTCAAGTAATGCTCTAACAGGACACAACCGAGAATGGCCAAGACGTAAGTACAAATGTTATGACGGGGTGACCATTCGACCACGGCATTTCTCACCCGCAGCGGCCATACAACGGCCTGAAACGTA